CAGTCACAGAAACAATAGATACACACGTTATGCAGTCGAAAATTAGTATAACCTGTTGTATTGTAAATAAAAAAAAAAAAAAATTCAATAATTTAAATAACACGCGCCACTTGTATAAAAATACTTGTATAAAAATTACCAATCGATCAGTGAAAACAAAAAAAAGTATATTTTTAAAAATAAGGACCTTAGGTCAAAAAACAAAATGTATGTGGCCGTCTAATAGAACGAGGGCAGTCCTTCCTCCGACACCAATAACTCCTACACCATTATTCCACCCGATAAAATCGAATCGGGATTCGTCTGTAAAAAGTACCGTAAACCATTCTTGATGTTCCCAGTGTTAACGTTCTTGTGCCCATCGTAGATAAATTAATATTAAAAGATAAACCGTTTAAATGCACGGCACTGGTAACAAGTGGTAGTTCCCAGCCATACTACTTGGAGCCACCGTCGCACGCTACAAATTTGGCTGATTAACTTAACAGTTAGAACAACATAAAAGAAGAAAATTTAAAAGAAGAATGTCAAGCCTAAACGCGGCTCATTCAAATGTCGTTTATTATTTTACATTTTTTGGCATTCATTACTTTAAAAAAACTAATATTTACATTAAAATACTGTATTTAACATAAATATTAGTTTTTTAAGTAATAAAACTCCAAAAAATATAAATGAAAATATTTGAAACAATAGGTATATACGTATAGTTTAATCATTTAATAAAAGTAAGGTGCATTTAAACATTTATTACATACAGAACATGTACAAATACCAACTGTAAGTGGAATTAATAGTATTCTCCTCTCGTTCTTGGAAAACTGGACCAAATTTTGATGCAGGTGTCAGGGGTTTCCTATAAAAACAAGAAAGTGTACATACTTACATCTTATTAAACAATTTTTCTTATCAAAATGTTGCCCTTTCTTATAAAAAAAAATATTTTTAATTTGTCTAAAATTAGTTTATAGAAAAAACTTTCAGTTTATTTCTCATAGTGCAATGGTCGATTTGAATTATATTTTAACTAATATGTTCTAGTTGATCTAACAAATTTGAGTTTGAAAATTACTTTTCATTTTTAACAGAGGGTTGTTCAAATTGTTTATCACTAATACTAAGTTTACATTTGCAAATAATTTCTTGTTTTTCGTTGCAGATTAGTAAATCTATCTTATGCTACTGTGTATGTGCTTCAGCCTCAACATTTTCTAAAAATCTGACTGTTTGGGTTGAGTATTGAGTATAGTTGAACTGGATGTAGGTACTATTAGCTAATAAAATTGGTACAGAATTTGCAATTAGTCGTTTATGTTTTGAAGCAATTTTACTAAAAGAATCTGGCCAAAAATGATCTTCAAAAAGATAGCGAATTTTATTATCTAAAGATAAAGTAAATTCTTAAAACAGTTTTCACGAATTTTAATATCGGAAGGATAATGAAAAAAGGTTTTATTTGAATAACCAGCCTGCTGAATATTAGAATAATACTTATTTAAATTAAGGGGCTGAAAAAGATTACTTAATTTTACCAGGGCCAGACATGTTTTGTTGCAAATAGGTATATTAAAAAAGAATTGAAAATCGATCCAAAATGAAATTATACTTCGTTAAGGCTATAAGAAAACAATGATAAACAAAGTCCTTAAACAAATCTAACACCTTATTAAATTATATTGTTAATACTTACTAATTTCATCAAATCAGCACTTATCAATCTTCTTAACCTAATAATAACTTACCTATCGAAGGATAATTATATCCACAACATCATAATAACTTTTATTTTATGACGGTTTTTGTGCATTTTTCGACTATTTCGTCTTCCGCCATTCCGTTCTTTATTTTTAACGAGGTTATCAACACAGTTGCCAAACCTCTCTTTAAAATATCTCAGCAATAGTATGGCCATTGTATGTATGGTATCGAGCACGACAAAAACAAAATAAGGTGCAGCTTATGCGTTTGAATTAACTCTAACCTCATGAAACTTTATGGAAACTGACAACATCGCTGTCATCTTATTTGCGACGGTGGCTCCAAGTAGTATGGCTGGGAACTACCACTTGTTACCTGTGCCGTGCATTTTAACGGTTTATCTTTTAATATTAATTTATCTATGGTGCCCATCGTAGTCGTGCGCGATTATTTCTTGTTAACGAGAGAACACGAGCGGTCTGCGAGCATAAAGGTTGAACTGATGCAACCTGTTTTTCGGTCTGGCTGCTCACAGCAAAATGGTGTGTGCAGTATAACTCATTTGCTAACTGATCTGCTGTAACAGTTCGATCTCGTAGTACATGTAATCGAATAAATCAATCATGTAGAGAGTTGCTCTCGTACGACCATTATGCCATTCTATAACTCTAAGTTTGGCGCCCTTCAACCATCGCAACTGCTCGCAATTGTTCGTTGCAGTTTAAACGTCATCTTTCCATCTTGGTCAACTAAACTAAACACTAATTCGAATAACAAAAATCTCGTTTTGTCCTTCGTAGAAACAAATACCAAAATAAACTAATATGATAAATAAAAGACAAATGTTTTTTAAGCACATTTGATCAATTGCTAAACCTTCAAAATAATGTACCCTGTAAATAAACGGTGTTCTCGAATTGAGGACCACTACCTGCACAGACCAAATAAGTGCACCGAATTGCGGACCGTACTAAGGATTAGGGATTAAGGTGGTAATGAGGGTTCATTGCGTTAACTAGATTACTGAGAGAGATTTTTGTACCTGGAAATATGACACGAATTGAGGAACTTCTCAACTTCTCAATAATTGAAGTATCTTATCACTATACCCATTTATAATATTATTATTTGTCTTCTGATGGATTTGCAAAATTTGAAGAAAAGTACGAATTCAGATAAAAATAGATATTTATTGCACAATTTACAATTTATAATTAATTTTTTAAACATATACATATTATTTACATTTAATACACTTTATGATAATTTGATGCGAATTTTACAAAATCTATTCGTTTTATAGAACCATTTTTATATTCTTTTTGAAGTTAACATATTTAATCTTCGTCTAACAATTTTGTTGTTACATTTAACAGACTCCTTAAGGCTGTTAATACGAATATAAGTATCTGTTTGAAAATTGTTCAAAACATTTACAAATAAATACAATGAAGGGTGCATTGAATAGAAATTTGAATTAAATCTAGAATGAAAGGACTCGCATGCATTGGTAGAATTTTCTGTAGTTACAACAGCTTCAGCCCAAATTGTTGGTGGAAATAAAGAATTTTCTTCAATATAATTCTTTACTAAATAGTCAGCTAAATTTACCACAGCTTTATGCATATGATCGGGCTGAAATTCAGCCAAATCCAAAGCAAAACATTCTCCAACTTCTTCGGGTTTTAAAAAAGACAATCCAAAAAGATACCTCATCCATTTTCCAGTTGCACTTTTTTCATCTTGGTATTCTTTAGCCAATCCCAAACTCTGTATTTTTCTGTACCAAGCTTGGCCAAGATGAAACCTACATCCAATGATCTTTGTGGTGGGCCATTGCGCAGAAATTGCTTTGTGAATAGCTAGTTCATAATCAGCTACAATAATTTTTGGAACAAATATTAAATTAGCATTACAACACTTTTCTTTAAGAATAACGAAAAGTCTTTCGTATGTTAAACGCAGTTTATTCGGTAATAAACAAAAAGCTACTGGTATATAATGGCCGTTTTCTACGATATGAAGTGTGAACAACTGTAAAAAATGTTTCGTACAATATCAAAATGTTCCATCAAGATACACTTTGTCACTACTACACAAAAATTTTAAATTAGTATAGCACGAAAATACTACAATATTGTTAATATTATCAGTGGCCAAGAGAAATGGTTCATTTTTAATTGTTGTCAAATTTAATGTTGGTAAAATATCGAAAACATCTGATACATTGCTTGGTAAACGTGCTTGGACTTGACGTCTTTTGTAATACATATTATTTCTTATGTATGTAATGTCTTTTCTTGTCAAAGCGTCCATTGTATCACTGTTTTCCCTTAAAACAGAGTGTATGATTTTCGATGGCCGTTCTGTGATATCTTCTACAGCTTTCCGTTTGCTTGCTACACTCAAAATTTGTCTATTTAATTTTTTTATGTCATTTTCATGATTGTGCACTGTTTCTTTTCGAGAAATTATATTATCTGAACCTAGCGTAAATACTTTTGCGTTACATTTACTTACAGTACAAGTCCAAAACTTTTCACCACTTTTAAGAACCTTTTTTTCACGAAACTTATAATCATCCCACACAAGTAACGACTTTCCCTTTTCACTTAAGATCATTTTAATTTCACTCATTTTTACAAGACTGCTCAAAATAAACTAAACACAAAACACTCACTTCAAATATATATTAGAATTTCGAAAGTAAAGTAATAAAATGCTCGTTAACGCAATGAATCATCATTACAACCTTAATCCCTAATCCGCAATTCGGTGCACTTACTATAATTATTTCTCAGAAGCCTGGTCCTCAATTCGTGTCATATTTTCAGGTACAAAAATAAACCCTTCTTAATATTTTCATTTTGGTTCTCAATTCGTGTCTGGCCTAAATAAAAGGTATCAAAAATATCTACAGAAATTTTCAATATAAATATCTGCTGTCTCCAAAAAGTATAACAATTTTAATCCTTGTTCTCCAGATTTTTTGATGTGCCTCCCTGATTTAAAAAAAAAAAATTGCAGCATATAACTAATTGATAATCTAGATTATGCGCAATTGTTCTGCTATGATAGTACATAATCATTAAAAAAACCTGACAACTTTATTATAACATCCACCAACAAGATTAAAATCCTGAATGCCACTGTTTTAATTAATATTTATTCTTATTAAATTGGTGCAATAAAAAACGCAAAAAAATTAACGAAAGTTTTTAAAAATATAATTGTTATTTATAAGTAACAGGTCTAAGAATGATAAAGTGCACTTCTAAAAACGTTTACTTTAATATTACTACCAGGAAATTCATTAATAATGTATTACAATTGTATGCGCATATATTTGAAAATTATCAACAGGAGGGTTAAACATAATTAGACTAGGTATTTACAAAATTAAAATTTTCCATTTACGAACTAATTGCTGTTCAGTAAACAATAGTCAAGATGAACAAGTTGTATTGCCAGTTGTTGATGCTCTCTTTGTGTTTATGTCCAGGTATTTTGATGTTTTCCTTTAATTAATCTTAAATTTATCAAATATTCTTTTCATGATATTATTGAAAATCGATTTGAATAAAACATGCATTTGAAACAGATTATAATATTTTAAGAAAAATAATTTTCCTATTAATTATAATATTAATACTATACCATTTTTAATTACAATATAATATTATTGTTATTAAAAGATACCTAAATATTATTGGAAGACTTTAGATGTAAATACTATAATAATAGAGCATCTGTGACTATAATTTTTTTATATTTTTATATTTTTTAAACAGCAGCACAAATGAAACTCTCTTATATCAATAAATACATAATTTACTTTAAGCTCTCAAAGTTTCACGTAAATCCGTCCAGTAAAAGATAAATTCTGTATAAAATTATAAACCTCTGTTTTGGCTATGTAAAATACACTGAAATAGCGGCCTTAAGCATGGAATAAGTGAGGTATTTCATTATAGTTAGTGGCGACTTGTAAAAATTTAAAATGGGTGTTCCCTTTTTCCAATAATTTTTTCATTTGTAAGTTCGGTTCAAAAATTTGTACAAGCGTAGTTATTATTATCAACATCATACTGTTTTTAAGCACTACAACTATTAATAAATGAATAAATGAATATTTTAGTTATTGTAATATTTGTTTGGTTTTTAATACGTTGAAAACCTTTTATAAATATTAGTCAACTAACTTTTCTTCATATTTTAATATTATTTTTAGGGTGTTTATTAAGTACTTGTACAAACTTTAAATAGTGAATCTTTGACTAATTTTAAGGCAAAAAGTTTATATGAAACGTGTCCTAAACCTCTTAACTTTTGTGCTACAGGATAGTAAAGTTTTCAGAAAAAAATCTATTTTTACCAATAACTGTGAGACTATTGTAGATAACTTTACGAAATTTATTTGGTACACGTATACTATGCATTAAGATGCATTTTTTGATGTACAAATTTATGTTTTCTACCAGTGGCGTCCATACCTACGGGGTTTGTATTGAATATTTTTGCAGAAAAAAATAGTATGCCACTGCTTCATCTTAAAACAAAAATTATTTTTGAAATCCTCATTTATTTTTAAACAAATTTAATCTTTTGAGTTTTTTCGTTCGATGCATAGTTTAAAAACTAAAATCCGTTTTATTTCAGAGTCAAATTGCTAAAATGTACAATAATTGTACATACATGCATAGCAAGCCTTGCAAACAACCGAGATGTTTCCATGGTAGCGGAATCAGTCATGACAGTTTATTTAAAAAAAATCTGATGTGTCCAACACATGACTTTCCTATCTAGTTATTATAGGCTTTTTCCGGTTATTTTGTACAACCTATTGCAGCATCTCTATAAATGTTTAGAGGATAAACTAAATATATACATTGTCCACATACATCTACCTCGAAACATTTTTCTATAGATATTCATTGAAAACGAAAATACTGAAAAATTATAATTTAGCACTTTTCCATTACGGTCCATTTTAGAAAAATCATGTAAAAAAAAATTATAGAGATCGATATCGCAAACAACTTTTAGTTCAACAATTTTCATAAAAATCAGAATTTTGCACATTTTGTCAAATTTCTCGAATACGGACCATTTCAGGAAATTATGACATAAAACAAACATTATAGTGTTAGAAACATACCTATCAGGATGCGTCAGTGATAATATTTTCTGTAAATCGACCGCTGACGGTCGGGCGATTGATTCATTCTATTGCCTCAGCTCGTGGCAAACAGCCGTTATTTTGCAGAAGATATTGTGTGTGTCGAAAAATAATATTATTTGTGATTAGTTCCTAACAATAGATAATAATATTAGAAGTAACTTTTATTTGAACAATTTTCTTCTCCAAACATAAATAACAGATATATTCCATAAAATATAAAAACGGCCTCCCATAAAGTACCCCTCCCCCCCCAGATGTTCCGACTTTGTCCAAAATCTAACTATTTCACGGCAGGCTGAAATAAACCTTAAATTTAAAATTTAATGTTTTTTCTTTATCCGTTTTTGAGTTTTCTTCAAAATTCGAAATTTACACATTTTCTCAAATATCTCGAATACGGTCCATTTTAGAGAAATTATGTATGGAACAAAAATTATAGAGAATTATATAACAAACTTTTATTTAAACAATTCTTATAAAAAAATATTTTTTTTACATTTTGTCAAATTTCTCGAATACGGACCATTTTAGGAAAATTTTGCATAAAAGAAAAATTATAGATAATTATATTATAAGTAACTTTTATTTGAAGAATTTTCTTCTCCAAACGTAAACAACAGATATATTCCATAAAATATAAAAATTACCACTTATAAAGTACCCCCCAAATATTCCGACTTTGCCCAAAATCTAATCAGCTCATTGGACGCTGAAACAAACCTTAAGTTTAAAATTTGGTGTTTTTCTGTGTATCGGTTCATGAGTTATGCGTTACACACACACACACACACACACGCACACGCACACGCACACGCACACGCACACGCACACGCACACGCACACGCACACGCACACGCACACGCACACGCACACGCACACGCACACGCACACGCACACGCACACGCACACGCACACGCACACGCACACGCACACGCACACGCACACGCACACGCACACGCACACGCACACGCACACGCACACGCACACGCACACGCACACGCACACGCACACGCACACGCACACGCACACGCACACGCACACGCACACGCACACGCACACGCACACGCACACGCACACGCACACGCACACGCACACGCACACGCACACGCACACGCACACGCACACGCACACGCACACGCACACGCACACGCACACGCACACGCACACGCACACGCACACGCACACGCACACCCACACACACACACACACACACACACACACACACACACACACACACACACACACACACACACACACACACACACACACACACACACACACACACACACACACACACACACACACACACACACACACACACACACACACACACACACACACACACACACACACACACACACACACACACACACACACACACACACACACACACACACACACACACACACACACACACACACACACACACACACACACACACACACACACACACACACACACACACACACACACACACACACACACACACACACACACACACACACACACACACACACACACACTCACACACATCATCGCGAAAATAGTCAAAACGGATTCAGGGGACCTCAAAACGTAAAAATCCGTCGAAAACTCGAGGTCGAAAAATATCATGATTCCTATACTTTCCTTATATCTGTATACAGATAGGAAAGTAAAAAGATCATGGTTTTTGTCATTTAAAAATGTACGTATGTAATAATTTATTGTCTATTATTGTGTTCAAAATGTACGAATATACCAATGCAGAAATGGCAGACATTCATTTCGTCTATGGAATGGCTCACGGTAATGCACAAGCTGCAAAAAGAATGTATCAAGCCCGATTTCCTCAACGGGTGGTTCCACATATCCAAACTTTCATTATTATTCACGTAAGACTTTGTGAAACTGGCAACTTTAAAAGAACGATTGATATCCCAGGAAGGCCTGCGACAGTTCGAACAGTTGAAATTAAAGAAGCTGTGTTAAATAGAATTGAAGAAGACCCGCAAACTAGTACAAGGAAAATTGCTCATGAATTGAATATTACGCATACAATTGTGTGGCAAATTTAAATATCTCAACAACTTTATCCTTATCATATTCAACGTGTACAGGCATTACTACCTAGAGATTTTCCTCTCAGAGTAGATTTCTGCGTATGGCTGCGAAATAAATTATTAACAACCTCGGATTTCTTAGGCCATGTACATGTTACAGACGAAGCTTCTTTTTCTCGAAACGCCATCATAAACTTCCACAACAACCATATCTGGTCTGAGGATAATCCCAATGCTATCATAGAAAATAATTTCCAAGATCGTTTTTCTCTAAATATTTGGGTCGAAATTATCGGGGATCACCTTATTGGACCTTCCACAAAGGCTAAATGGCGAAGAGTACAGAAGATTTTTGGATCGCGAGAAGAAATTGATTTGGCTACCAGAAACAGGATGTGGTTCATGCACGATGGCGCACACTTTTGTTTGGCTGCACGTCAATTTCTGAACGAGAAGTATCCTAATCGTTGGATAGGAAGAGCGGGACCGCAAGCCTGGCCTCCCAGATCACCAGATTTAAATCCTCTGGATTTTTTTCTGTGGGGTCACTTAAAGACACTAGTTTACAAAACATCCGTTCAAAATGAGCAAGATCTAAGAAACAGGATATTTGAATCGTGTGCCATTATTAATCAGACACCAGGTATATTCGAAAGAGTACGTCAATCAATATTAAGACGAATTGACGCATGCGTTGCAGTAGGCGGCGGGCATTTTCAGCAATTTTTGTAAATGTTATTAACTTATTTGTAAGAGTAGTTTAGTCTTAGTCTGTAAATAATCTAAGTTTATCACATAACAATATTGATCAATAAAAGACACATTTTTCACTTGTTCCATGCAGAATACTATGCGTCGGACGAAAACTATGCGTCGGAGAAAAAACTCATCAGACCAAATTTGCTCAAAACTAAATGAGGATTGCAAAAATATTTGTTATTTTAAGATGAAGCAGTGGCGTACTATTTTTTTCGGCAAAAATATTTAATACGAAACCCGTACGGGCGCCACTGGTAGAAATAATAAAATTATTTGTACATTTTAAAATGCATCATAATGCGTAGGAGACGTGTACCAAATTTCGTAAAAATATCTGCAATATTCTTACAGTTATTAGAAAAAAATTTTTTTCTGAAAACTTTACCACCCTGTAGCTCAAAAGTTAAGAGGTTTAGGACATGTGTTCATATGAACGTTTTGCCTTAAAATAAGTCAAAGATTCACCATTTAAAGTTTGTACAAGTACTAAATAAAATTGTCATACTTTTTTGAAACTTC